ACCATCCCTATAAAAACTCTGGAGAAGATAATCAACGAGGACGTTGAAAATTCTAAGGGTGGAGAAGAAATATCCGTGAACTAGGCTATATTTAATGTTATTATTAATAATGCTGAATGTACATTTTGTTTTCATAAAAAGAATTGATTGTGTTTAATATGTAACATTGATTTCGTGTCAAAGCTCGCTGCTGTTCGTAATTGATTGTTCACCTTAGTTAAGAAACGTATTGTAAACTAGTTAAGGCCTTTATTTCGAAAAAATAAACTTTTTTAAAAGTTACTCCGTTGGTCGTGGAACTTAATATTATTTTCGAAAACCCTTGTTGTCTACCTGAATTGAAACACAAAAGAATTATTTACTTTGGTCTAAAATTTAGGGTTTCATTTCAGGTAGAGAGGTAGTCAAATTATTAAAGCTGGTGCCTGATTACAATAGGTCCTGCATATCCATCTCATTTACTAATTTCTGCTTTCTTTGCATATAGCACTCATACAGCTACAACTGGGACCAAGTCTGTACCTGCAGGAAGTCGACCAGGAAGTCAGGCAGGAAGTCGACCAGGAAGTCAGGCAGCAAGTCGACCAGTAAGTCGACCAGCAAGCAGGCCATCATCGGCTTTCAAATCTTCAGTGTGGAGCAATGTCACGATGGAAACATTGACTTCACCAGAAGTCAGTCCGGCGCAGTTTGAGCAGCAACCTATTGCAAGCTGTAGCTATAGTAGGCCTAAACAAAGTACTGACGACGCTTCTCAGGGTTCTACAATAACTCGTAAGATATATTATTGAAACATACAGAACAATCTAATAATATTTAATTTTTTTAAGCATCAAGAAATCGAAAAATGGAAATCCCTGATGAGAAGATGGACAGGGTTGTGAGTATCGCTGGCTCCTTGGCTAAGAGATTGCAGAAAAATGATGCTAAAAAAAAAATCAAAAAACAGCGCTTTTGTAGAATACTTGTACTTTACGTTGGAGGCTCTTCCTGAGGAGCAGGCTCAAGCAATAAGACGCGCCATTCTACAATTATTATTTGAAAACAATTAAGAATAATTTTTTGTTTAAAATAAATGAAAAGCAAACCTTATATTCAAAGACTTTTATTTCTTGGAGTTATTTTACATTAAAAACTTTCAACATGTACCGTGTGGTAATTTTATCTTGATGACATTTAAACATAATTTCTTCATTTTCAAAGGTATTTATGGCCGTTTCCACCAACTATTTAAGGGAAGCCTTAACGATAAGTATTCCCTAAACTGACAGTTTTCCATGGAGCAAATAGCAGTTTTCAAATGGAACACCCAGTACATTTTTAATTTGTTTGGTATGTTCGAGAGAAAGGACCCTGCACACAGTATTAGAAAAACCCCCGTATATCCAACACTAGTCATAGGATCGGTTTGTACCCATGAGAACTTTTACTCAGGAGGTCGAAATATGCAACATACCAAAATTTAGTTGAATTTCGCGTTCAACCAAAATCCCATAAAAAGTGTGCGAGGTCCTTTATTGTGGCAAGGGGAAAGTTTTGTTAAAAAATATACCTAACTACTTATTATTTCTCCAATTTACATGCTATTAAGTATATTAATTCAATTGCGTTTGCATTGCTTCTACCTATGATTGGCTTAGAGATTCTACAACCTTTCTCATACATGAGGGCTATCCATGTTTATATCTCCCGACAATGTCTGAATATCATCAGAGAAATTTCCGACTGAAAGCCATGGAAGAAATTAAAAATGTCTGAATATCATCAGAGAAATTCCCGACTGAAAGCCATGGAAGAAATTAAAAATTATTTCAATCGAAAAATGTTAACTTCTTCAACAATAGAGAATATTAAAAAAAAGCTTCATGGAGTTCGAGCCCAATTGGTAAGTGATGTTTTTCGTGCTATTGCTGATAGTGACAATGTGGAGATGCACATATTGTCGTTATCTCCTGAGCCTGAGACTCCTGAGAGTGGATGTGAATCTCGAGTGGAGTCCAGACTTCCGTGTACATCTGGAACTAGATACCAATCAAAGTTTTCCTTGAAAAGTGTTTCCGATCTCCAAAAAACCTCATCGACCCCATCAAAATCTGGTCAAAAGAGGAGGAAGTTGCAGACCCCAGAAAAAGAGCACCAGTAGCAGTAGCTATCGGGCATTCTGAGCACTGCTGTTGCAACTTCAAACCTATTAACTGTGCCTGGTGAGACGGAGAAAGAAACTTCACAGATACAAAAATATGCTCTATTTGCACAGTAGGTTTTCAACAATTTTTATTTTGCAATTTGCATACCTATTGGTAATCACTTTCAAATTTTTCCAGCATAGGGTTATTGTTTTTAGATTTGTTGCAAATGAAATAGAGCCCCTGGAAAAGGATGACTTGGTTGATGACCCTAAACAAGAAATTTTGATGAAAATATATGATTTGAAAAAATTAAAAAGGCTTAACAAAATAAATTGAACTGTGTGCACCTAGTGTTGTGATAAATAATTCAAAACTTCAAGCGGTTTTTTTTTCTGTTTGTTTTTATAAATGAAAATTCATTGGTGTAAATGGGATTTTTGTATAGGTACCTACAACTTTTTTCTCGAGAAAGTTAATCAAACTTTACTAGAAAATAGTGTTAGAAACATACTTTTCTACTCGCGTGCGCAAAGTAATTACTTTGCACACTCATTTGCGTGCTCAAAGCTCAACTTTGCGCACGGAAACTCTATGCACACTCATTTTTGTTACGCATAATTACTGTAGTTATGCTTGATTTTTCAATGTTTTGATGGTTTCTGGGATAACCTAATATTCAAAAAGAAGGGCTTTAGCTGAATTTAGCGCTTCGTAAATATCCTATTAATTTGAACCACAGGGAACATTATTTTTCGACTTCGAATAGGCAACAATTATTCCATAGATAAATTATGCCACCATGCGGATCATGACATGGTGTTTGTCACTTCAGACTTTTGTGTTGCTGAGGCTGGGATAGCAACCAAATATACACATTTTCTCAAACGTCAGAGAAGCGTCAACAAGGCATCAAGAAATTTCAAAAATCTTTTCGAATCTTTTCACAATGGAGGAAGAACTCCCAGATTATGTTCTGGGCAAATGTTGACGATAGTCTCCAGAGTTTCTATAACAAATTTTCTGAATGCCTGGATCAAGCGGTTCCTAAATTCTATGCTAGAAATAAAAGTAGTCGCCACAAGGCTCTTCCATCTTGGTATTCACCAGATTTGAGAGCTAAATTAAAAAAGAAAAGGAAGTTACTTCAAAAACGAAACAAAAAAAGTGCAAGCTCGGAAAACTTTATTCAATATTCACGACTGCTAAAAGAAATTACGCACCAAACTAAAAGTGAATTTGCTGCCTATCAAAAAATGATAGAAGCTAACATAAATATTGATCCGCAGAGTTTTTGGCGTTTTGTGAAGAACAAAAAATCCCTCTCTGGGATCCCAGTGGAAGTAACCTTTGAGGGCGACTCTTTCTGTGGAGAAAAGGAAATTGCCCAAATATTTGCAGATTACTTTAAATCAATTTACCAAAGCAGCACTGTAACTATTGATGGTGAATGCCAGGAATGGGGAAATTTTAAGTTTTCATTTGTTACTGAGAGTGACGTTCTTGCCAGTATTAAACAGTTAAAATCAAAGAAGTCAACTGGCGTTGATGGCATACCCTCTTATATATTTAAGGGCTGTGCTGAAGGTTTATCAGAGCCTTTGGTACACAGTTTTAATCTGGGCATTGCAAATAATAAATTTCGGGACAAACTGAAGATAGCCACTATTACACCTGTCCATAAAAATGGAAAACTAAATGAGGTTCCTATTAGTTTGATTAATGTCATCGCCAAAATCTATGAAAATTTACTCTCTGAACATGGTAATACAGCTGGACACTGTGTACATTGACCTGTCTTGGGCATTTGATAAGGTAGACCATGGATTGTTATTGAATAAACTGATAGATTATGGAATCTCTAAGGAAACATATACATTCCTAAAATCGTACTTGCTTAATAGGCCTAACTTTGTAAAGGTTGGCAAGTAATCTTCAAACCAATTTTTTACTAAGTACATGTAAGTGCAAGTACTTGCAAGATTCTTTCTGCAAGATTTCTTGAGTCATCTTGCGGTTTGCTTTTACATGTGTTTTGAAATATTTCAATTGATGTGTTCTGTCAACAAAAAGGAAAAAAAAAATATATAGGAAAACAGAACCTCACTTTTCAATATTCTTGTTGGTGTTGGTAGTTGGTATTTGTTTACTTTTGTTGTATGGTACTTTGTATTATTACTTACACCTGTTTTCCTTTTACGTTTTTATAAAAATTAATCGTTTTTCAAAACTTAATGAAAAGAATAGAAAAAAACAATTGCTGCTAGTCTTTGCATCGTTATTGGTGCCGCCACTATGTTACAAAAAGATCTTGGGGATAAACAAAAGATGCATAGGAGATGGTGAGTTAGGCCTTGGTTTAACCAAAAAAAGGGCAACATGAGTTTACACGAAGAATTTATCCAGATCGACCAAGAAACATTTAAAAACTTCCTAAAAATGGATCAGAAAACTTTTGAATAGCTGCTAAGGAAAATTGAGCATCGTATAACCAAACATTCATTATGTCGACAAACAATGCTAGCTAGAGACAAACCAATTATCATTTACAATATTTAGCCACTGGAGAAAGTTTCCGCAGCCTAATGTATAACTGTAGGATTCAGAGAGTACAATATCTCTCTTTGTGCCTACAGTTTGTGAAGCAATATGGGAAACTGAAGGATAATTATTTGAAGGTAATATGCCAAATGAATATCTGGGAAACCGTAAGTCGTAGAAGTAGGACTCGGAAAGCTTTTTTTGTAGATCTTGTCGAGATCTATAATCTGCCCGTGAAAAACTTTTTTTCTTACTTCATTTTTTTTTTGTTGGGAAAGTTCACTTAGCGTTAATATCAAATTTTTTCTAAATTTTTGGGGATTCAAATTTGCCATGTCAATCTGGGTAGAAGATACTATTGGCAGATACCTTCCAATTCAGGAGGATGGCAACTGTCTCTTCAGGGCACTTGCTGTGCGATTGGGGGGGAATATAACGCATAAGCAGTTGCGTAAAATTATCGTCAAAGAGGTGAGGGATCATTGGGGTAACTACATAAATAATGTTTTTGATTATAAAAATGCGAACAAGTATTATTGGGGAATGTTACAGCTTGGTAAATGGGGTTCTGCTGCCGAATGCTTGGCCTGCGCTAACGTTTTTAATAGGAGAGTTGTCATCGTGAGGGACGGTATTTTACTTGTGGATCATGGTTCTCGTGATGACATTCATCCTATTGTATTACGTTATATTGGTGACAACCATTACGATTTACATGAGCCTGCTGTTGTTTCTTTATTTAATGCTGGGGGTGCTGCTGTTGCCCGATCTCCTGTTGCAGTAGCTCCTGCTGCAGTAGCTTTTGCCAAATCCACCTCATGGAAGCGACATCCACAACCACGCGTAGTGACCTTCAGTCAAAAATTAAGGAGAGTCGATTTTGAGAAACGACTCAAAGGGTGAAAGTCGCTTCCTGCTATGGATTTAGAGAAACCAGAGTGGAGGATAAGAAATGAAAGAACCACGGAGTTTTACCAAAACGTGTGGGAGTTCGGTGACCGCGATTTTCAATTCATTTTGGTGCACCGGCTTCCAAAAAAACCCAAATGGGATTATAAATATTGCGGTGCTCATTTTTGGGCCAGCGAATTAAGAGTTAAAAGCAAAAGCACGGAACAATGTTGTGGGTCAGGAAAAACCTGGTCCTAATTTTCGAGACAGCCGTCCTGAAGTCGAACCAGCGGTTATCGATAGACAAGTTCGTTTTATGGCTTCGACGCATGTACCTGGGCTGCAGAATTTGAATGAGGCCTACCTGTATTTCATGGATGTGAGTGAAGACGTTCTTAAGGCTAGGAAAAATGTATCGACTGTTTCGACCAAATTAGAATTGGCGACTGAGAGAAGGCTTGAAAATTATTTGCGAATCGAAAATATTCTTATGCGTATTTTTAAAAACGCTGGGAACATTTTTGAGGAGGAAAAGTTGAATGCTAGGGCGCAGAATAGAGAGGTTCGAGAGGTTATTTTGTGTGTAAATCCTCGCGATAAAGAAGACGGGGACGCTAAAAGTTTCAAATCTCAGCGACGTCAAAGTGCGGCAGTCAAATCGGGCATGCAGTATCCTCGCAACGAAGCCGTTGCCGGAGTATACGTGGTCGATAGACCGCCATGTTACTACGACGTCGAGTTCGCTGTGAAGCCGCTGCAAGAAGATGCGGCTCTCCCGCCCAGAGAGGTCAATGTTTTCAGATGTACGTTAGATCTTATGCTTTATCCGCTCATCCACCTCCACTGGGAGCAATCCTTGCAGCAAAAAGATCAAGACAAGTTCAATTCCTTACGAGAGTATTATTGCGTTAGGCTTCTTTCAGATTCGGCGTCGTTGGATAACGTACGTTATTGAAACGTACTGGAGCACGTAGGGAAATTACGCCTGCAGTATCTTCTCGATGCGGGCGTAAAAATGGAGTATAATAATGTGAATTGGGCGATAGGAAATCAGAGACAAATGCGCGCCAAAACTTATGCCAATCTTGGAAACTTTTTATTGCAAGAAGCCGCTAGAAAAGGCTTGGGGGTTTCGGGGCAGCAGTCGGTCGGTAAAATCGTCGTTTCACCGCCCACCATTCCAGGGTCTCATAGGTACTATTATAATGGGTACATGGATTGCATGGCCCTTTGCGAGAAATTGAGAAGGCCTCCAACCTATTTGTTGACTTTTACTGCAAATCGGCAGTGGGCGGAAAATACCGAGGAACTCCAACGGCTCGGTAAAGGTACTGATGATGTTGGCAATTTTTCTGATATTGTGTGTAGGATTTTCGAGCAGAAGTTGGACAGTCTGATGCCAGACTTGCTGCAACGGCAAATTCTTGGAAAAGTCGAGGCTTACGTGGTGAGAATTGAGTTTCAGAAGCGCGGTGCTCCTCACGTACACATTCTTCTCTATGTGACAGAACAGGACGTTTCCGATTCGGTTGAGGATTTGGTTAGGGTGATTTGGGCCCGTTGCCCCGTGCAATCTGATGGCGCTGGATATGGAAGGTTGCGAGATTTAGTGGCCAAGTTTATGATACACAATATGTGTAATGTACTCGTGTCTGACTTGTCCGAAGCCGATCGTATCCGGAATGATCTGGAAGATGTCGACAATTTAATGCAGCCTGGTGAAAATCAGCATGAGCAGCTCTCTTGTGAAGACGATCCCGCCGATGACATTTCTCAAACGTCACGGCCGTCGCTGGAGGAGCTGCGATCTACATGCAAAATTCCATCAAGTACAGCACTTAGTATCAATTTTATTGCAATAATAACAAATATTTTATCATAAAGGTATTATTTAAATAATTGAGTATGACTAAACAATACAGCCTAAAATTAAGCACCATGCGTGCACCTTGATTTCATTGGGAAGTTCCTCTGTTAAGAAACTGACAACTTATTTTATTTTTATGGCGTTAAAAACCCATGCCGAAATTGATTCTTTCGTTGTTGGAGACAATACCATGTAAGTGTTAATAATCTGCTTTGAGGTGGATTATCAAATTGTTCAATTCTTTTTGCAGAGAATTGATTGGTTATGTGGACGAGATTAACGGCAGCAAACAAGTTAAAAACAACACAAAAACACTCTTCAAATTTATTCTGAACAATGGACAAGGGAGGAGGATACGTATCCTCATGTGGGACGAAATGGCTAAAAAATTTGAACAGACGATTGTTAATAAGCAGGTGAGTTAAGTTTTAGTTAAATATAAAAATACCTATATAAAAGTAAAACACTGAATTGTTGGTATTTACACTGATATAAAAATAATTAATTCAATGACTAGGGAATTGAATGTATTTATTTTGCAAAAGTTTATTTTTATTTTTTATAATTCTCTAAACGATATTCATCTTTAATGGTAAGAACAGATTTTATTTTCATACGCATCTGTAATGTTGATTGTATTTTATAATAACTAATACTGATCAAATGTTTTAATACAGATATTGTTCATCGAAAGGGGCCTAATACAAAATGTGAACATGACGTAATTCAAAAAAGCGTTAACACGTTTGGGATCGCTTTATAAGAAGCTGACAAGAATAGAACCACATACCATAAATATTGCTCAGCCGATTTTGGAAGTATATATGTCAAGAAGGTTTGATAAAACGTTTTACTGTTTTTTTTTTTTAAATTTCTCAACGATATAAGCGAAGGAGGCTACTATTGCATCTTTTACCCTGCCCCAATTTAAACTGAGGTGGAAAAACTGCTTTCAAGGTGTTACAGAGGATGATTTGTCAGAATGTATCACAAAATTTTTTTTCCAAATTGCACAAGACATTGTAAGTTTAGAAAAAAAAATCGGAATTCAAGGGAGAAGAACACAGCAAGCATTCCAATGTAGTCGATACATTTTTTGAATTAGATACTACTGACGCTACTCGAAGGCAGATTGAACCGTGTGACCAAAAACACAAGAAAATAATTGAGTTGGAAATTTTGTAGTATCTTAATGATTCATCAACAGAATCTGAATCTTTAAACGCATATCCATTTATAAAAAAGCCATTTTTCAGGTTTAATACGTGAACTAAAGAGTTCGGTTTTTAATAAATTTTAAATTGTTCAGTCAATCCATGTTATTGATTAGTTTGTGATCTAATTTAACCATGTGCACCGTTGTTTTCAAACCAAGTTCTTTTATATACACCTGACGAAGTTAGCACTGATGATGGCCTAAGGCCGAAAGCGCTCTGCACTGATATTTCTTAATAAAAAATTTTGCACGATATTCAAACCTTCTTTTGCTTAATTGCTTAACGTGCACACAGCATTCAACCCCATTTTATTATTGAAATTGTTGGTCCCTTCTACTGTGGTATATGTATTTCACCCAGTATATACATATATTGCATGGATAGTTATTGATAATAGATGCTTACAAATTAACGTAATTAAGGTTAGCTGAATAAGTATAAATAGGATGTAAATTAAACAATGTTTAAGAAAAAAATTATACTATTTGGGTTAATGAGAACAGAATAAAAATGACATCCAAAAGAAAGCACAAGCTGTTTTATTTTAGATAAGCACACAAAGTATAGCCAAATATTACATGGCGACTCCGCCGAAAAAGTTCTGGTGAGCGGCAAAAACAGTAGAAGGAATATTCAAAGGATAAAGTTATAATTGCCCAGGCGGGTAATAGTCGAGGCCAAACGACGGAAACATCTATGTTCTACGCTAGAGATATTTTGAGTTATATCGTTTTGGGATTGGCTATAATTCTAATTTTGATGTTTGCCTACAAGAAGCTGAAAAAGATACTAGTCAATCAATAAACATTCACTAAAACCTTCAGTAGCAAACTTTATCTTACTTCCGTTGTCTTTCGGGGTGTCCACTGGCAGCCATTTTCAAAAATCGCCACCACGGCCGCCGAGGGGCATTTGGTCGATGGCTTTACATCGAAATTTGTTTATATTACATCTACCTCTGTGCCAAATTTGGTGCCTTTATCAAAAAGTGCACAATATGTTGAACTATCGTGGCTGAGCTGCCGCACTATTACTAGACAATCCGGGTAAAAACCTACTTACTTCATACGTCCCAAAGACAAAGCTATCCGAAAATGCGAAAATTCGGTTGAAATCTGACTATAATTTAAATCAAGATTTAATTAATGACCTAAAATTGCATTTTATGCCGAGAAAATCGGCTGCAGCGATGTCAGTAAAAATTATTAGCGCTAAACAAGGCGGTAAAGCCATTGAGGACTTCGGGAAATCAATCGAAGAAATGTTGGCTGAGCTAACAATCTCCCAAGCAGATGATGACGATAGAGCCGTGATTCTTAGGCCAGTTAACGAAAGAATTGCTATTAATTATTTTTCTCACGGATTGCAAAGTAGTGAACTGCGTACTATTATCAAAGCAAGGAATTAAGCAACTCTCAGCGATGCAATCAGTAGAGCAAAAGATGAGAAGTTACAAGGACTTCAGTCAAAGCCATTTTTTCATATGCGCGGCAGATTCAATAATAGAACACCCATTAGATCTAGCAATAACAATAGAAGGTTTCGTGGCAGGCAAGGCAAAAATCATTTTACTCAGCGGCACTCTGGTAATAATAGTAATAATGATAATAATTACCAGAGGTATGGTAACAACCGAAACAGAGGCTACTCTAGAAATAGCTATAGTGGTCATCGTGGGGGTCAGCGGAATTATTTGTTTGCCGGCATAGAGCTGGCTTGTCGACAGCAGAAGGCAGAATAGAATTTTTTCGAGCCTCGCAGTCATAAATTTAAACAAAACCTGTTAAGGATAAATGGTTTAAATTATATGAATTGTAAATATCTAGGTAAAAATCTTAAATTACTTATTGACACAGGAGCTTCAGTGAGTGCAATTTTTAAAAACCGTGTCACGGAATTGAAAAATGTCGATTATTCAAAAAAGGTAAAAATAAATGGTGTCTCGGGGTCCATGTTTTCTGAGGGTTGCGCAAATATTACGTTACAAATAAATAGTAGTATAAAACTATGTTGTCAAATAGTGATAATAGACCAGTTGCATACGCAAGCCGAAGTTTAAATAAGGCAGAAAAAATGTATCCTGCCATCGAAAAAGAATTGTTGGCTCTTGTATTCGCAGTAAAAACTTTTAGAAGTTATCATTATGAAAGGAAATTTATCATTTACAAAAGACCATAAACCTTTGGTTCACCTGTTTGGGATGACAAACCCTTCTAGTAGACTTACGAAATTTAGGCTACTACTAGAAGAATATGATTACATAATAAAATACGTAAAAGGTAAGCAGTGGTAGCAGACACTCTATCAAGAGTTGAAATTGGGTCAGATGAGCTAAAAGACATGTATGTGATAACAAGGCTACAAAGCCGAAAAAAGCGACAAGAAACATTTTAATAATCATGTCATGAAAGGACTAATCACCTTGAAGCGGTAGAATTATTAGAAAGGCCTAAAATTCTTTTGAAGCATATAGCGTCACAGAACAGGAATTTGTAGAGTTAGCGAATAAAATGAACACCTATTATGAGTTTTCAAGTAGTAAAGTTTTATAGTTGAAAAAGGACAAGGTTATTATAATTAAGGAGCCTCGATCGGAATTAGCATTCAGCGCATCACTGAGAGACCTTATATTATACCTTATATTATATACTTACTCTACTATGCGAGCTATCCAAGTTTGTTGAATGCTATCCCTTAAAAAATAAAGAAGCAACAACAGTTGCGAGAAGTTTTGTGGAAAACTTTATTTTAAGATATGGCATTCCAGAATGTATATGCTCTGATCGGGAAACGAAATTATTATCTTCTACTCTTACAGAGACGTGCAAGCTTTTAAAGATCGATAAAATGAACTTCACTGCTTACCATCACGAAACGATTGGATCATTAGAAAATACCCACAAAAACTTAGGGGCGTATTTGAGAATCCAGTCGGAGAAATTTCCAGATTCTTGGTGTTCATGGGTGCCCTTTTGGTCTTTTAATTTTAACACAACAGTTCATACAGAGACAAAATATTCACCTTTTGAATTTGTTTTTGGGAAAAGCTGTAGTTCACCATCGAATTTAAAACAAAACGTAGATCCTCTCTATAATTTTGACAATTAGGCATTAAAGCAAAAATATCGCTTACAGCAAGCCAAAAATAACCTAATTTTATCTGAACAAAAAAGGAAGGTTTATGATCGTAACATAAACGCCGCATGTTACAAAAAAGGCGATAAAGTTTTTTTGAAAAGAGAATCGTCAGGTTCAAAATTGGAAGCCTTGTTTGATGGTCCGTATGAGGTTGTAGGAGATAAGGCCCCGAATATTGAAATTAGAGTGGGAAATAAAAATCTAATTGTACACAAAAATAGAGTTAAGAAATATTTTATAACTAATGTTTATCCTTTATTTTATTAGAAATTATATATCATTGCAGATAGTTTTATCATTATGAAGGTAAGGTAATCGTTTCTAGAAATATTTTATAGTTTTATATTTTAAAGGTAGTTTTATCATTTTTTTTCTAATTTTTTTCTATTATCGTAGGAGGTGTCTTATGGCGTATTCGACTACCGGCACTAGTGCGCACTCGGCTCGCATTTTGCGAGTGCAAAGCAATAATTTATGTTCGGGTTGATTCAGCTCATGAACGAGCAAACATAATAATAATAACACACCCTAATTTCTCAGAGTGCAACCAGGACTTTATCTCGTCCTTGTACCTAAAAAGATCTCTGCTTCCTTTAATGTTGAATAAGACACCATGATCAAAACAGGACACAAGTTTATTAATTAGATAAATTAATTAAAACATTTAAGTTATAATTTTATTTAAAAGACATTTCGTAAAACTAAGATGGGGTAACAGATTTCCGCCGGGATGCCAATAATAAAAGAATTTACTTACATTAAATTCGCCATGAGAATTTTATCAAAACGAACGCTTTCTCGAGATACACTTTTCCGAGACTTTTCTGCCTACCGCTTGAAGTACCGAAACTGGACTGACTTCTCTTCAAAAATGTATTCTCACCGAATCAATGTTTTGCCTTGTCAGCATGATTTCCGAAAGGAATCCCATGCTGACCCCAACAGATGTTTTACATTTAGTAACATTTCTAAACATCAAATTGGGAACTGGAACATTGACGTGATGAAAAGAATATTATTAAAGTTTGTTTTGTCCTGTGGTCGTTTACTCTTAAATGTGTAAATCAGGACAGTTTATATTAAATAATTTTAGTCGAATATAGATTTTATAAAGTTAATGAATTTCACTTTTGACAATATCTCGTGTTCGACTACCCGAACTAACCGCAATACTTTATGTTCGTATTGTTAGCGTGGTTCCTCCAGCATTCGAACTTTTTGGAATTGTAATTTTTGGCAGTTCAAGTAGATTGCATAATTCTTTGAAAAAATTACCTCAAATTTTCAATCCGTCTCTTGTCTTTCTAATTATTTATTCTGCGTTTCTGAATGTTTGTTTACAAAAAAGTTTGTGAAATATGAAAAGAGGAAATTGTTGTTATCATTAGCTGCAGATGTATTATCATCAAGTAGTAGTAGCAGTAGCTCAGAAAGTGCTGATGATGAATTACTTATGGCATTTGCATCCACAACATGGCACAAATACTTGCCATCTGTCATAAGTATTGGCTCATTTTCATCATTTAAAAATATTTCTGTGGAAATCTGAAATAAATTTCAAAATTTATCAATTTGAACTTAGGTTAGGTGAAATTGGAGAAAAAGTAAACGCAATTGTTGAAATTTCATTTCAACCCGCTGCCGCCGCCGCTGTATTTAAAATTAAATTTCTTTATATTTCTTTTCTTACAATAATCTTCTGTTTCTACCCGATTTTCAAGGGAACGTTTGAATGCCCAAACGCATCGCAAAAGTAGGTCAAGACTGGAAGTTGAGAGTACGAAGTCGAAGTTTTTGTTTGCCTTGAGTTCTCACTTCTAGTCAGAGATCGTAACGCATTGCAAGGGTTGATTTGTACCGCCTTTTTCTTTTCCCCAAATGGCCCGATTGTGCGCCTGAAATCAACCTTTTCTTTCTCTTCAGTTTTCTATTGTTGCTGTTAATCAAACAATTATTTGCGTAAAAGTGAACGCTCCATTTACTTATATAAATGTGCAATGTTCCTCAGAATTTGTTGCCTGTTTTCTGTAAATAATTGTAAATAGTCTCTTTTCGTTCAGATTTAAATAAAATAACTTATTCTAATCAAACCATCGTGTTTGTTTGAACCTGGATTTATGAACAACAAGAATAAGCACGGCATCGGCAGCATTCTACCACAGATTCTACACTTGAAAAAAAAAAATAATTGTTGGATACCACAACAGCAATCCAACAATAATGGGGCACACACGAACGCTTCAACTCGGATTTTCACGAAGCCAGTTCACTTTTTTTGACAATTCGCACTGACCCAGCGCGCGATCGACTCGCCACATACCCGCTCTTGATTTCAGTGCAACAGCGCCATCATTTTTCGAACTTGATCAGAGCCACCCAGTATATACATATATTGCATGGATAGTTATTGATATTAAATGCTTATAAATTAACGTAATTAGGGTTAGCTGAATAAGTATACATAGGATGCAAAGTAAACAATGTTTAAGAAACAATTTATACTATTTGGGTTAATGGAAACAGAATAAAAATGACATCGAATAAAGCACGAGTTGTTTTATTTTAGGTAGACACACAAAGTATAGCCAAATATTACACTGCTTTATCAGATCTCGGAAAGTGAAACATGTGAATTTGTTAATAATTTGTTAATAATCAGTGATAATTCTGGCGATAGTCATAACTGCTTGATAGAAACATGTCTCGCTTGATGTTGACTCAGTTATCTAACCATGAAAAAGCTAAGTAGTTGTGTGATGGATGCTTGGTGTATTTTTTCGAGTGAGCAAAAATTAAAAGCTCATCAAGAACACGATTGTGGTCACGTTTCAGTTAAATTGCCGTCAACAGACTTCAAAAAAAAAAAAAACGGAGAAGAGGTTCCAAGCTTCCTTGGCCATAGCAGAGAGTGAGACTGCTCTCTGACAGTAAATATCTCACGAAGTCCTTACCGTCCCGCTGCTTAACTCAAACCGTAGTTAAGCAAGTGTAATCTTCAGGCACACAGCCTGAACAAAACCCATAAAGCATGGCCAAGCCAAGAACAGAAACATTGGAATCAAAAAACGCACAAAAATAGAAAAATGGTGTGCTACAATTATTGCAACCAGGAAGGTCACGTGAGACCAAATTGTCCGAAACTGAGGGACTTGAACAGACAAGGTAACAGAGGTACGCTTGTTTGTTTCAGATGCAACAAGTAAGGGCATTTTGCTAAAAATTGCCGCACGGAAGTCAGCGCTTTTACCCAGCAATCGGGAAATAGGCAGACTTTAAACTCGAACGCAGACACTTTTCAACCCCGAGACTTGGCTGCCAACGAGGCAAGTTGGGATTAAATGAAGAGAGGTGGGTAGGGATATACCATATATGCTCCAAGGTGAGAACCCCAGAAAGTTGTAATGTTGTAAGGATTAGGGTTAATGATAAGTCGTACCTGGCCTCAATAGATTCTGGAGCTGTAGCCCGAAATCCGATGTTTAAGCCTTTTTTTTATTATTGCGTAATATTAATCTACGATTTCTAGGAGACCCGTATTTTTTTATTTTGTCCAAAAGTTACCACTAACTTTTTAAAAAAATTTAATAAAATTCATAATTTGAATTTTACTGTAAAGGAGCGCGTGACGTCATGGACCGCAAGTACCACACAATACTACTAGATGTCTGTCTTTTATAAAGTCTACAGTTTACTGTAGCATTTCGTATCTTGGTGGGACTTCGTGCCATGTAGAATTCGACATATCGAATGCCGCACAGTGTGCCGAGCCCACGGGCCGAGCCTATAAAATCCTGTCGAATTCTACATGACACGGAGTCCCTGGGCTGTTTTGTCACTGTGAAAACAGCTGTGAATCACGTCATCGTCAACTCAACTTGTTAATATAAAATCTAGTGACGACAAAAAAAAAACAAAATCAAAATAAATAAATACCACAAGCTTTACTGATACCACCACATTGACTTTGAAAAAAAAAAACAAAACAATGCCGCTATTGGGTCGCAAAGTGCTGTACCTACCTAGTCGCCAAAGGTATCGTTTTTCAGGGTTAAAATCAGTTTTACGTTGAATGCCGTGAAAATATTGTAACAATTTGCAATGAAAAATTCCTGGCATTCGTCCAATTAAATCTGGCCAAAAATATTGAATCGAATCGACTGCAGACAGGGACAGGCATTTTGGGTCTCCAAGTACAGTGATCTCCAAGCGGCATCTATTGGACTATTATATTTGATAACAAGAAAAGATCCTTCAGTGGCGCCATCTGATAATGATTCTCTGCACGATCGGGTGGTGACGTCATAATCTTTTGGCGTCTGTTTGAAATGATGGGTATTTAAATAAAATTTTATTTTTAATTTTTTCTTTACAAGGGTTTATTTTGATTGCATAAATCGAACAGTGCAATGAAAATAGTCGAATTCAACTATGCTTAAACACCGGATTGCCCAGTTTGATAATCTGGTCCTTGATTGGAAGAAAAATTATCCGTAAAGAACATAAAATTTACGAAAATGGCAGATGATAAGAAAATTTACACTGCTGAGGAAATTCAGAAGATTGCGCCAAGGTATAGAGGCAAGCCAGAAAACTTCAACCCGAGTAAAATCGGTCAGAAGAAGCCGGCCACCGTACCAAAAGGCAAACGCAACGCTGAGATTCCACCGCCAACAGACGCACACCATCCACCAACAGCACAGCGAAATGATTCAATCATTTCAGAAGCTATATTCGGTGTCGAAGTATCTGTGACGGAAATTGCACCTAGGCAGTCCTTCGCGGCAAACTACTCAAAATTGATTGACATAGTAACGGAAACATATGCGGCATACCAAGCAGACGAAAAGGTTCTTGACAGAATCATCGCGCGCGAGGAAGTCTCATACTACGCTACAGCTATGCTTGATCTAAAACTACTTGAGGTAAAAGCAAAGCAAGGAGACGCTGTCTTGACCAGTGCAGAAAAGGACATGAGGAAGTCCACTGTGGATGAAACATTCAATGTTCCACAAACAATCCTCACATACCTAAAGGAGGTAGGTACATACACGGATAGAATGGGAAAAGAAACTCGCCACGAGGTTCCAAATCTCCCAACAACTGTGGTGCAAAACTTCGGGGGTTACCATGCTCAAGAAGTGAATGCAGACAACCACTGTTTATTCGAAGAAGTACCATCTCTAGGTATAGCTGGAGATATGGTAATGGCGTTAGCATCAGACGATGCTGAACCAACGCCAAACTTCCATGTCAGACGACCAGCAGGAGCAACTTTCACAAACAACTTAATTGGAAAGTTCTCGCCCATCGGTCCACGAAGACCAGAAATACGCCAAAGATTGGCTGGATTCGGTATCACTGCGCAGCAGTTTCAAGAATACATACCGGGCACCAGATTCAATTTGCGTTATCTAAAGTCACTTTCGGACATAGTTGGAAAACTCGAGACTTTTCGAACAGAAAAAGTTTGCTTCAGAAACTCCAAGGTCCAAGAAAGAAACATGTGACGTAATTTTGGTGGATATACAAGACAATAAAATTCCTGTAAAAGGTATGGCAAAAGTACCTGTGATGTTTGATTTTCGTAATTTTATAATTGTAAATTTGATTGGTTGGCATGTTTTTGTAATTATACTTTTTGTAAAATGGGAATTCCCGTAAATAAATAAATAAATAAAAATCTTTTTAACGCTTGTTATTCTGAAATTGATGAAATTCGTGATCAATCTATGGAACATCAATCATCAAAATATTTCAATTATTTTATTACCTGACGAAAAAGCAAAAATTGAAATTGAAGACTATTCGCGATGGTTTCTTAAGTGATTTCTTCTCAGTAAAAGCCACACACATAGAAGTTTTTGAGCAACCTAATCACAATACTTCAATCCTTAAGTTGGCCTGTTCGTTTTCGGGCGGTAATGTGCAACAGGCTCGTTTGAATAAATCAGAGATTCCTTAATTCAAAAGAGATTACAAAACCTGTGTAAATTTTCTGAATCTTTTAAATGCCTCATTTCATAATAATCGAAACTTGTCGGACATTGAACGCTTCAATTATTTGATTTCGGTTTTCGAGGGTCCGCCCTTATCATTGGTACGCACATTCTTTTTGACAGCTGATAATTATTTGCATTAGAAAACTGCCAAAAAGTTTCTTATGAGAATCCATCTGCGCTTCGCATAGTGCTAGATACCTTTTCGAAAAATTTGCTGCATATAGGACTTTGGGGTTACCAACCAACAAATAAGATTTTGTCGATGTTATAATGTTGTTCAAGAAACTTGATCGGTCACTCGTAAGTAAATTGGAATTAGAGTATGGTTCCTCACAAATTTCAACCAAGACAGACGCACAAAATCAGCTCCAAAGACTCCCTAAAATAGTTGGTGAATGGTGGAAACGGCCATAAATGAAATTTAAAAATTAATTCCATTTACAGGAGCTGAGGCTGTACTACCCTTATTGGTGAGATTCTGAAAATGAAATTTATAGGGTATAGATGGAAAATCGATAGGGCTTCTTAAAATCCATTCCTTAATTATTGAAGTGCAGAGTTTGTGAAAGGTTTTTGACTAAAGTTTACCTTGTGAATCGGAAAAGTGTTAAAAACCAAGTGGTCCTTGGAAATAATATTTATGCTTGGTGTATTTTTCGAGTGAGCAAAAATTAAAAGCTCATCAAAAACACGATTGCGGTCACGTTTCAGTTAAATTACCGACAACAAACTTGACAAAAAATAAATACGGAGAAGAGGTTCCCGAGAATATTCTGAAATTTATAAATTTCGAAAAAAAATTAAAGGTGCCTTTTGTTGTTGACGCTGATTTCGAGACAATCATTGAGCCTGTTGGGATAGAGAATGAGCTGGACCCCGAAAATTCCTATACTGTTAAAAGCCACAGGGCTGTTCCTTATTCTTCCGCTTACTACATTAAATACAATTTCGACGATTCTCATTCTATTTTCAAGACTTTCAGGGGCCCTGATGAACGCATGTATAAGTGATATGAATAATCAATTGAACTTGGCAGATTGCATATGACTAGATAGTTCTCACAAAAATCTTTTCAAGGCTCGTTATTCTGAAATTGATGAAATTCGTGATCAATTTAGGGAACATCATCAAAATATTTTAATTATTTTATCAACTGCGAAAATGGAAACATTGAAATCGAAGAGACCATTCGCGAAGGTTTCTTAAGTGATTTCTTCTCAGTAAAAGTCACATACATAGAAGTTTTTGAGCAACCTAATCACAATACTTCAACCCCTAACTTGGCACGTTCGTTTTCGGGTGGTAATGTGCAACAGGCTCGCTTGCCTAAAATAGAGATTCCTAAATGCAAAGGAGATTACAGAACCTTTGTAACTTGTTTGGATCTATTTAATGCCCAGGTTCATATTAATCCAAACTTGTCGGACATTGAACGCTTTAATTATTTGCTTTCGGTTTTAGAGGATCCGCCCTTATCATTGGTAGCGCACACTTTCATAGCTGATAATTATCTCACGTCTTATGACACTCTTGAACAACGCTATTCAAATGGTCGTTTGAGAGCTCAAGAGCATTGGTTTGCATTAGAAAACTGCCAAAAAGTTTCTTATGAGAATCAAACATTCAAGACTTGTTTCCAACAGACGAATGGAATTTTGTCGTTGTTATATTGTTGTTCAAGAAACTTGATCTGAGATTCTGAAGATAAAATGTGATAGTGGAGTGCAAAGTTTGTGAAAGATTTTTGATTAAAGTTTATCTTGTGAATCGAAAAGGTGTTAAAAACCAAGAGGTCTTTGGAAATAATATTTATTTCAGGACATTAGCCCTATGGACATTCAGTTGGCATTCAGCAACGTTTTTGTTACCATTTGCTAATGGCTATATTGTATGAAAATGCAAAAGAAAAACTATCATTTTTATACAAGACTTGTTCACTTATAATTGATCTTCGACTGTCCAATCTTTCTTAAGTGAGCAGTGACCGAAGCTGATTAGCGTCAAAATAGTAGAACACCTCTTTAGGTCTTCCATAAGATATCGTTGCTCTTCTGTTGCAACATAATATTTCTTGTGAACTTGTTCTGGGGTTATGTAGTAATTTCCAAGTTCATTAAAACCTTCCACTATTGTTGATTGTCAAATTAATTGACCGCATATTACTGATTACTGACTTCTTTTCTGATTGATTACTATAGTCCGTCTAGGAAATATCCAGATATATTTTATTTTTATTTCTGAATAATAAAATTTCACCAAATAATTCATCCCATTAACTTATACAACCGCATGAGCATCGACTTAACATTGACCAATAATTTTTTTACTCGTACTTGAATATAAGCTTCCAAGTTTGTTTTAATATTAATCATCAACAGTAAACAAGCTACAGAATTACCTCCCTGCATCATCACATGTGTCAGCTATATGTGAAACTCATAGTGAAATTCACAAAGAAAAAGAAGACCAATATTCTTGGTGTGATGTGAATCAGGGCAGTTTGAATTAGCACCTACAGATCGCATCGTCAATGTCGGCGTCAAGAGGAAAAAACATTCGTTGTTGTTAGGCCGACAACCAGGAAAAAAAATTATTGACAAGAGAGAAGTCAAGATTTATGGCTGCACACTCTGAAGCCTTCGCTAATCCGCCAATATACCTACGCTACAAGTCTGGGGCTACAACAACCATCTACATCTACAACCGCTACTTCCCAAAAGGTTGTAATGACTCACAAAAAGACGGGCTCGGTTACTTAGAAAATTATTTTATTAATTAATTCTTTTCAACGTTTCACCTTGAGACAAATTTATAATTTTAATTTATTGCGGGCGACATCCTTTGAGACATGCTACCCTTGGCCAACCTTAAACCCCTAGTACCTACAACCCCAAGGAGTACTAGCCAACGAACAAGCAACTAGAAGCCTACCAGGAGGACCACATGTAGTCGACGAGCGACCAGGGCGCGGTGGACCAATCCGCCTCCGAAATCAGCATGTGACACAGAGGAGGGTCCTGCCCACATATAGGGTGGTCGTACGGAACCCCGAATTGCATGTTCATACTTGAAACATCATGACTTATGCAGAAAAGACATTATAGTTAGTTAAAGAGTGAAAGGGCTTACAGAACCAGACTTCAATTTCAAATGCATCTTCCAAATACGCACACTCTCTTTGGCAGCTGATAATTATATCACGGCTTATGACACTCTTGAACAACGATATTCAAATGGTCGTTTGCGGACTCAAGAGCATTGGTTTGCATTAGAAAACTGCCAAAAAGTTTCTTATGAGAATCCATGTGCGCTTCGCATAGTGCTAGATATTTTTTCCGAGAATTAAGCTGCTCAAGACTTGTGGTTTTCAACAGACGAATGGGCTTTTGTCGTTGTTATAATGTTGTTCAAGAAACTTGATCAGTCGCTCGTAAATGTGCAAATCGTATTAGATTTTATAACTGAAATTGATATGTTATTTCATATTATACGATATTTTCTATATTTTTTAAGTATATTTTGTTCAGTTTAGTTGAAAAATAAAGTTAAATCACAGAAAACCTGCATGTACTATTATTTGTACCAGAGAGATTGATTCTAAAACAATTTTAGATGTGCGGACTGTGAGACTACGCGCGACCGTTCATGACAAAATTCAGGCGCGACTACTGCAGGGTTAATACCTCAGTTCATATTAATCCAAACTTCCGGTCATTGAACGCCCTTATCATTGGTACGCACAAATTCTTTGACAGCTGATAACTATCTCACGGCTTATGACACTCTTGAACAACGCTATTCAAATGGTCGTTCGAGGGCTCAAGAGCATTGGTTCGCATTAGAAAACTGCCAAAAAGTTTCTTATGAGAATCCATCTGCGCTTCGCATAGTACTAGATACCTTTTCGGAAAATTAAGCTGCATTTAAGACTTTGGGATTTCCAACAGACGCTTGGGACTTTTTCGTTGTTATAATGTTGTTCAAGAAACTTGATCAGTAGCTCGTAACTAAATTTGAATTGGAGTATGGTTCCTCAAAAATTACAACTAAGAAAGACTTGGCCATTGGCCATTGGCTAATGGCTCTAATGTATAAGAATGCAAATAAAAACTATTATTTTTATACAAGACTTGTTCACTTATGATTGGTCTTTGACTGTCCAATCTTTCCTAGGTGAGCAGTGACCGAAGCTGAACGTCTGTCAAGATCTGCGATTAATGTGGTAGGATTTTTAAATCGGAGAAGGTTCTCCAACGCCATCTTCAAGAACACGCAGCCCCGGGAGCCCCCAAACGAAAGGCTGGAGATCCCGCCACCTCCATGACGAAGCAAGCTAGACTTGACCAAGTTGCTGGTAAGTTGGAATTAATAAAAAATTTCTAATTCTAATTTAATTTTTCTCAAGACGTTCAACATCAGCCACACACCGGTGCGAGGATTGCGATTTGGAGATTCCGATAAATCCATGGGCTGGTCATCTTCGGAGTCTTCAGCACCGAGCCAACACCTGTGTCGAGCCGGAGAAAAGCGTTAGTATTGTAAAAAACTTCTTTCAGAAACCGAATTGCAACATAGCGGCTTTCTTCAGAACAAGACCCCACAAGCCTAAAAGAATTTTTAAAACATTTAAAACAAAAATTTATCAAGCTAATAAGGGACATGTTTAAGAAATATGACCATATCAAAGTCGGTGTGGAGCTTCTTGGCCGCTTCCTCTTGCAAACGAAAGAGTTGGGAGAGGTCAAGTCCTTCAATAGCAAATTCCGCGTGGTCAGCGATGATGCAGATCTGGAGGAAACCGTTTCCAAGCATCCTCGACAAGAAGTGCATGGAATTCCAGGAACAAGAAAGTGGTATGTTTTTTTTTTTTTAATACACTGTTAATTACTGAATAATGTATCTTACAGGTTGGGCGCTGCACCAACTATTATCTACTTCATTTAGATGTAGGCATCAATAAGGTCAAGCCTCTAAAAGCCTCTTCGTATTTCCATCAACAAAAGCGATAGATGCTAAGAAAGCTGTCTTAAATATTCAAAATCAGGTTCAAAAATGTTTTATGTGGTCGGTCGTGGCTCACGTTCGTGACTCAGTTATGAAAAAGATAAGTAATTGTGTGATGGATGCTTGATGTATTTTTCGAGTGAGCAAAAATTGAAAACTCATCCAGAAAACGATTGTGGTCACGTTTCAGTTAAATTACCGACAACAGACTTGAATAAAAATAAATACGGAGGAGAGGTTCTTCGAAAAAAAATTAAAGGTGCCTTTTGTTGTTGAAGATGATTTCGAGACAATCATTGAACCTCTTGAGACAGAGGAAAATGAGCTCTAGCTACCTCAAAAATTTCTATACTGTTGAAACCCACAGGGCTGTGCCTTATTCTTACGCCTACTACATTAAATGCAATTTCGACGATTCTCATTCTATTTTCAAGACTTTCCCCTGATGCACGCATGTATAAGTGATATGAATAATCTATTGAACTTGGCAGATTGCATATGACTAGATAGTTCTCACAAATATCTTTTTAAGGCTCGTTATTCTGAAATTCATGAAATTCGTGATCAATTTATGGAACATCATCAAAATATTCTAATTATTTTTTATTATTATGACGAAAATGCAAACATTGAAATTGGAGAGAGTATTTACGAAGGTTTCTTAAGTGATTTCTTCCTAGTAAAATTCACATACATAGAAGGTTTTGAGCAACCTAGTCACAATACTTCAACCCCTAACTTGGCACTTTCGTTTTCGGGTGGTAATGTACAACGGGCTCGCTTGCCTAAAATAGAGATTCCTAAATGCAAAGGAGATTACAAAACCTTTATAACTTGTTTGGATCTATTTAATGCCCAGGTTCATGTTAATCCAAACTTGTCGGACATTGAACGCTTTAATTATTTCATTTCGGTTTAAGAGGGGTCCGCCCTCATCATTGGTAAATACGCACACTCTCTTTGACAGCTGATAATTATCTCACAGCTTTTGACATTCGTTTGCATTAAAAAACTGCCAAAAAGTTTCTGATGAGAATCCATCTACGCTTTGCATAGTGCGAGATACCTTTTCGAAAAATTAAGCTGCATTTAAGACTTGTTTCCAACAGACAAATGGGATTTTTTCGTTGTTATATTGTTGTTCAAGAAACTTGATCAGTCGCTCGTAACTAAATTTAAATTGGAATATGTTTCCTCAAAAATTCCAACTAAGAAAGACTTGGTTGATTTTTTGGAAAAGATTTGTCTTGCTTTTAGTACGCTCAATTTTCCGTTCAATTTTGACAAAGGGAAGAAATCTGCTCCAAAGGCTTTCTAAAATAGTTGGTGGAAACGGCCATGAATGAAATGAAAAAAATATTTCCATTTATAGAGAGCTGAGGCTGTACTACCCTTATTGGTGAGATTCTGAAGAATGGATAGAGGCAAACATTGTCTTATACACGGATGGCTCCAGAAACTCCAATGGTGTTGGAGCAGGAGTCTTCAGCAGAAGACCGAGGATTGAAATTGAAAGTTTTGCCCTTATCATGTGTGCCAGAAAGCTAATTGATCGCTCCACCACAAACAAAA